TGCACCTTTGACTATTTTGGACAACAATTTCTAAACACGGTTCAAACCTCTTCAAACATAGTTCGAACGAGGGTGTTTGATAGATGGTTTTTGGGAGAAAAACTAAATTAAATTACTTATACTCCTATGGAGGTTCGGTGAGAGCTCCAAACTAAAAACTACGTCTATGGCTACATGATAGAGAAACGAAAAAGATAAACTTGACATGTATGTCAGAGTGCTGGTTTTTGTGAACCGCTCTCTCTGTCGACCCTTCCTCCTATTTATAGCAATGGAGAGATAATTGTCGCAGAAAACCGCCTCTTGGGAAACTCCCAAAAGAACCGCTCCCTGCTTCCTCGGAGTGGTGGTTACTCTTTCAACCGCTTAGGTGCTTCTCTTGGAACCACCGTGGGTCTTGGAGTGTAGCTTGCCTAGCCTGGTTTTGTTCCAAATCTTGTGCCATGCTAGTCTATTGATAAGCATGTGATGTCTCACAAAGGGGGTTGTGGTCCTCTTGCTAGGTGGTCGTGGACTTCTTACTCATGTCCATGGTCCTCTTCTGACTTAGTCATTAGTGATATAATGCTCAACCACCACGGCCTTCACATTCATGTCCATGGTTGACTCGCTATGACACAACACCTAACAATGGCCAAGTGTAACCAATGAAAGGGACTGCAGTATAGTGGCTCAAGTAATAAATATCGAATCCACGGGTCTCTAGAGTTACTATTACTCAGCTTCAGTTCATTATCTAGCAAACCAGATTAAGATGAAAGAACTAAAACTACTCTAGCAAACTACAGTTAAAGTTAATCTAATTACAGGTTGGGAACTCACTTAGGTATGATTCCCCCTAGCCACTAGCCGGATTAATGATTGATGATCTCTAACTTGTTTCACTTTCATTCACAATGCGGAGAATCCTTGACTAGACCTTGAGTCTCGACTAAAGGAACAAGGCCCTCTTGAGTCAATTGCCTAGAGGGACGTATCCTTCTCTAGAACAACCGATCAAGGTGTTCTGAACTAGACTCCCTCTATCGAAAGAGGTTCTCAATCGATACAAAGCAGTGAATCAACCCTCGACTAAAGCAATCGATCCAATACTATCAATCTATGGTGCTCTATTGACCTAATCAGGTATTCGCTCTCATAGGATCAAAGCAGAATCAATAATCTCGACTAAAGCATAATTGAATCATGAAAACATGCATAGATTGAATATGAACTCAAGATTATCAAGTCAGAGTGCTCATACAATCATCCAATCAAACAAACATAGCTAGGGTTCCTCAAAACCTAAGTGAAGGGAAGTTACTCCATAGAGAAGAGAGAGACTGTAGTAAGAATCTTCAGATAATCAATCTTCAAGTCCGGGCTTGTTCCTCGAGCTTCCAAGGCAAAGAAATCCTCCAATTCCACTCTTAGAATGCCCTCAAATCGCCCTCTCTTTCTTTGGTTCGTCCCTTGGGTGTTTGGGATCCAAAACCCAGCTCTCCCTTGCAAAAACACACAAAACAGGCTTTTAACAGCCTGCGTTCGCGATCCCCGGTCAAAATCCCCTGTCGGGTATTTTAGGTCACGACCGGGGATTTTTGGGAAAATCCCCTATCAAGGCCAAAAATCCCCTACCGGGGATTTTAGCGTCACGATAGGGCCCCCTTCTGTTTCTCGGAGAAGCCCGAAACCAATTTTCCCCTATCTTTGATTCTTCGTTTCTCCCTCGTTCGGAATCCAAATCAGGTGCCGTTTGATCTCAGACGCTCGTAGTCTCGTCCTCTTTCTTCTCACTACAAGATTACATGATTATATGGTCACAAACTGAGGTAGAAATCCATTCTTCTTCAAGTCATACCCGAGTTTCTTCCCCCGAGTCGCCAATTGATCTCCGATTGACTTGAAACTTGCGCCTACGCTTCACTTTATGTGCTAGAACCTGAAATGTGACAAAAGAACACAACCTAGCATAAAATAGGCCAAAGAAGCGATAATGCAAGCTTAAATGATCAAGAAACAAAGGAGAAAACATGTGCAAATATCGAGTCATCAATGGTCCCTCTCGTGAGGCGGCACGCCGTTCGACTCAAAACATAGCAGTTGGCATCGATCGACAGCTCTCTCAAGGAAGACAACAACGACATTTCGCTCGTCGATTCGTATAGCCAAAACAACTCCCCGTCTTCGTCTTCCGCATCTCACCTCGACCTCTCGCCTCTTATCTTCATCTTCCTTGCTAACCTAGAAAATCATAAGCAAAGAAATGAAACCGGTGATGCAGTCCCCCTTGGTTGTTTGCTTTTTGTCTATTGACACAACTAATGTGAGAGAGGGGGGGAAATAGATTATCGTAGACCTTCTGTGTAATAAAGGAGGGATCACCAAAATATGTTTGTGAGTTCGGCGATTTTAGAGGAGTAATGCCTCTCTTCAGTCGGATCTCGAGTCTTCTTCCGTTCATTTTCAGAGAAGGGAACGTCGACCTTTACCGATGATTCATTCCCTGAAATAAAGGACAGAGAGACATGAAAGAGGAGAGGTCATCCCATTATTTAAAATCTCTAAATGACAGGTTTTTTAAATTCATAATGACCAAAATAGATAGAGTTTTGTATCCTTTCCATTTTCCAAGCACATAAATATACTAAATTCTGGCTTGAGATAGGGTCAGTAACCACACGGGAGCCGTAGATCTGGGGGATGGAGCAATCGTGTGGTTGGCTGGACGCGAGGCTGGGGAGGGGCATTTTTGTCTTTTTTATTTATTTATTCCGCATTTCAATGGCTGGCTTTTCAATGAAAGAGAGAGAATGACCTACTCTCTGCAACTCTACTTTCTTCCTTCTCTCTTCCTTTTTCCCAATATCTTTCCAGATCCTTTCTCTTTCTCTATTCCTTCTTTCTCACTTTTTCTCTCACAATCTCCTTTTCAAATCTAGATCTGCTCTCTTCCATCTTCATTTTTTTTTCTCTAGCAATCGACGAATAAAAATTGAAGTCACCCTCTTTAATTGCCTTTCTTCTCTTCATCAACTCATTGGCTTTAATTTCGATCTTTCTCCTTTTTTGGCGTTTGGTGTTCTTTGGTTGCGGATGAAATGAGATGAGACAGAAGACAAGTTTTTGTTCACTCCCTCCTTTTGTTTTTCCCCCTTTCTTTTAGGTAATATATATTGGTATTACGTGGTAATACCAATATATATTACCTAAAAGAAAGGGCACGTAATACCAATATATATTACCTAAAAGAAAGGGGGGAAAACAAAAGGAGGGAGTGAACAAAAACTTGTCTTCTGTCTCATCTCATTTCATCCGCAACCAAAGAACACCAAACGCCAAAAAAGTATTATGTGGTAACGAAATATATATTGGTATTACCACTCTATACCATATGGTATTATGTGGTAACGAAATATATATTGGTATTACCACTCTATACGATATGGTATTGGGTGGTAACGAAATATATATTGATATTACCACAATATACCATATGGTATTGGGTGGTAACGAAATATATATTGGTATTACCACTATATACCATATGATATTACCACTCTATACCATATGGTATTTGGTGGTAACGAAATATATATTGATATTACCAGACTATACCATATGGTATTGGGTGGTAACGAAATATATATTGATATTACCACACTATACCATATGGTATTGGGTGGTAACGAAATATATATTGATATTACCACACTATACCATATGGTATTGGGTGGTAACGAAATATATATTGATATTACCACACTATACCATATGGTATTGGGTGGTAACGAAATATATATTCATGTAGCAAAAAATTTCATACCATATGGTATGCTCTTATTTAATACCAGTCAATACCATATGGTATAGACTGGTAATAATTGACAAATTTTTTTGTGCCCAAAAAATATCAAAGTGGATATCATTTTGAAGAGCACAATTAATCTGATCTAACTGTGCAAAAAAAAAAAATTCGACTTCAAACGAGCGAGAAATCGTCCGTTAAAGATTAAGAGAAGGAAAATTAAATGTTTTGCGAGGAGAGAGAATGAGGCGCTGATGTGGTCCGGTCAAAAGTCAGCATCACCAATAAATAGGAGTAAGTGCAATTTTACCGCACTGTCCTTTTCACATTTAATTTAAATAGAAAAGTGACTGACACGTGGGGACCAGGGAAGGGGTTACTAATGGGTTACTGACCCATCAGCAGTGTTGTCACGCCGGCCGGCGTGCCACTGGTTGAACCTGGTTCAACCTGTACCGGTCATAAAACCGGTATGACACCACCGGTATGACCGGCATGATCGATATACGAATCTCCAAGTAAAATGATCTTATCTTCGTGAATTTAATTGATAAAAAGTAATTTATTATTTATTTTATGTGTTAAAAAGTTAAATGTTGATGTTATTTGTTGGATTCAAGTACAAATATTTAGGTATTGACGTTAAATGTCATGTTTAAATATGAGTATTCGTAAATTATTTGTAATATTAACCGGCATGAACCGGCACAAACCGGTATGTACCACTGGTCGAACCATTTCACTTGCTAAACCGATATACTGGCACAAATCAGTTTGACAACCTTGCCCATCAGTTACTCACCCGATCTGGACCCCTAAATTCTGGGTAGTACAAGAATTGTCCAAAATTAATCCCCAAATTTCCTAATCCAAACCACCAATCTAGTGTTGGCTCCTAGTTAATACGGAGAACCATAGCGTGTGGTTGTTTTTTTTTCCCGTCCAAGACATGTCAAAAAAGGGTGAGCATGTGGACTGTGGTTGTTGATATTCACCAAAACATGAAGAAGCGCTAAACAATTTTAAAGGACAATATTTTCTTTTGCTCAATTTATCAAAATAAACATTTAAAGCAAAATAATCAATATTATCTGCATCGCTTTCTTAGTTATTAATTTTTCCTCCCACCACGTAATCAGTAATCCGACGAAACACAAAATCTCAATAAAGAAACTGATTAATTGAAATGGAAATTAAAAAAAAACACCTTAATTATTTATTAATTAACACTAAAATTTTCGATGCTCCCTTTTCATGTCCGACACTCTGTCGGTGAACGTCAACTGACTACCAAATACACCCCATCTTCCTCACTCCTTCCCTCCCTCCTCTCTCTCTCCCCCTCTCTCTCTCTCTCTCTCCACCGCCATTCAATCCCCGGCGAAGAATTTACAGGAATGTTAGGTTCTACCGGCCAGGTACTGCTATTTCTTCCTCCCTTCTCTTCCTCCGGCGCCTCCGCCTTCGTCTCGTCTTTTCCCCGCACAAACGCTGTCTGTTTTTCGGCTTCTTTCATTTTCAAGTCAGTAGCAGTTCTTTTTACCTTTTTTCTCTGAATCGTTTTGTTCAATCTTTTGAACTATACAGCCGGCTTCTCCTTCTTCCCTCTTTTGCCCCTGCTCTCTACTTTCGGCTTCTGCTTTCTCTTCGGATCTCTTCCCCCCATTTTTTGCCCCACTTTTGGCTTACTTTTTCGCCTCTTTTGGAACCACTGGTCTTTGTGTCCTCTTTCACTCGGAATCTAATTTTCGCTCAGTGGATTCGGGCTTTCTGTTGCGATGCAATTGCCGCAGACATTTTCCCCTGCTGAAGTTTCTACTTTTCTCCAACCCCTTACCTTTTTGGCTTTTTGTTGCGTAATAGCGTTAGTTGCCAGTCTCTCGGTTCTCTCTCTCCCCGTTACAGCTCAAGATGCTCCTTCACTGTTTTTTGTAGAAATTTTTTTGATCTAATTGAGTTGGGGCGTGGGTTTCAATCAGGGCCAGCACTGAACAGCGACGGATGATGTGAAATGTTATCGAGAGAATATTGTCGATTACTGGGTTGTGAAGTAGTAAGTATCGTCTCCATTAATTCTCCCTTTCTGCATTCCTTTCTTTATCCATGGACGAAAGGTCTTTGTTCTGATTTTGACTATGCTGTTTTCCTTACAAAAAGCTACCCATCCTTTCTCTCTAGCTACTCGCTCCCGACCTGTCTCTCCGCTAGTTCGGCCAGATTTCACTCGAAATCCGCAACGTTCACCTATCTAATTGGTGGGTTTTACTTAGAAAATCAGTTCAGAATGGCTAACACTCGGACTTCGGTTGCTCAATTGATTTGAAGCCTATGTGCAGTTTGACAGCGTTGCCTTCTTCTTGCATTTCTTCTCTGTTTACCTTGCCATCGTTGCTGGTGCTGGTTTTATGCTGTGGGTTAGATGAGAAAGCATGGAGTAATTAATCGTCTTGACTTGTTCCAAAACAGGTGCTGAGATGAATCGGGTACAGAATACCAAGACACACTCCTTAGAGAAGCATTTCCCTGGATGCTTGGGCAGAATGGTGAATCTTTTTGATCTAGCCAATAATGTGAGTGGGAACAGGCTGCTGACCAGTAAACCGCACAATGGTGGGTGATTACATATTTCTCACCTCATCTGTGAGATTCTTAGAGATACAACGATTTTCTTGTTACTACACCCTGTGGTTTACTGAATTCTTGGAAAGATTGAAATTTCCTTCAATGTTTTGGCATCTTGGCTACCACTTTCCTACCGCATAATTGGTTGGTTTTGCTGTTTGATATCGTGCTTCTGATGCTGGTTCAAGTATCTGTAATGGAGTTGTGTTATATTAGATTTATCGTATGAAGCCAGCTGTTGCTGACACGGGGGTAATGGTTGGGCAGGTTCTTCACTGTCGAGGAGTCAGTCAGACGTAGTGAGGATGATGGGTGCACCCTTTGGAGATCAGATCGAGGACAAAATGGTAAGTAAGGAAGATTCTTTGTTTATTGGTGATTCTGGCTACAGATCAGTGTGCACCTTGTTTTGCAGGCATTGTCTCTAATCTGCACACTCAAACACCTCTCCATTATTATATACCTTGTTTCTTGTCTTGATCTGCCTTGCTCTTTGTACCGGACATGCAGATAGTGTCGGAGTTTCAGAGAAGCTCCTCAAATAAAAAGGCAAGTGGAACACCGATGAAAACCCTTATAGCTCAAGAGTTGTCCAGAGAAGTAGATAGCAATCAAAAGCCACCAAATCTGGTTGCTAAGTTGATGGGCCTTGATGCCCTTCCACATCAGCAGCCTGACTCAGGAGCACTAACAAGTCACACAAAGGGTTACTCGAGACGGTCATTGAGTCACTCGGGAATTCTACTGGAATGTTGGGAGTCAGATCAGAATTTTTCGGACAAGGAAATGCAATGTTCGGTCCACCATTGTCCTGAACAGAATGAGTGCAAAGATACTACATATGAAGTGTGGCAGCAGTGTCTGACCAAAAAACTCAGAGATGGCTCACCCCAGAAGAGAAGGCCAGATGGAAATATGAATGACAGAAAGATGGCTCTCATTCGGCAGAAATTCATGGAACTCAAATTTCTGGCTACTGATGAAAAGGGCCGTAAGTCCAAAGAATTTCAAGAAGCATTGGACATCTTAAGCTCCAACAGAGATTTATTACTGAAGTTTTTCCAGGAACCAAATTCAATTTTCTCTCAACATCTCTATGATATGCTGTCTGTTCCTCCACCTCCTGAGACAAAGCGCATAACTGTTCTTAGACCGTCTTCCAAGGTGGCTGCAAGTGATAAAATGGCAGGGTTAGAAAAGAAGGTTGATAAGCAGACCACAGAACCTGCACAGATGAATCAGGCCACTGCTGCTTGGGACAATAATAACTTTGGATGCTCTCCCACACTTTCAAATGATGAATATTCTTCTGTGCAACCAACCAGGATAGTAGTACTGAAGCCTAGTCCAGCAAGGACTTACGATATTAAAGCCGTAATTTCACCACCATTGCCAACACCAAGGGGAGAAGAGCTTAATGGTGAAGCTGAAGATCACGAGGCACAAGAATCTAGAGATGTTGCAAGTGAAATCGCAATGCAGATGTGCAAAGATCTGGTGGGTCGTCAGAGGGATGAAACACTCTTGTCGTCTGATGTATTCTCAAATGGTTACATTGGCGATGACAGTTCATTCGACAAATCGGAAATTGAGGACCCAACTGGAAATCTTAGCGATTCAGAAATAGCTTCCCCTATTTCAAGACATTCATGGGACTATGTAAATAGGTTTGGTAGCCCATACTCTTCCTCATCATTCAGTCGTGCATCTTGCACTCCAGAGTCATCTGTGTGCAGGGAAGCAAAGAAGCGGCTGTCTGAAAGATGGGCCCTAATGTCCTCAAATATGAGTTTACAGCAGGAGAACAACGCACGAAGAAGCTCAAGTACTTTGGGTGAGATGCTTGCTCTCTCTGATACAAAAAAGCCAGTGGTGTCTAAGGAAGAGCCTGATAAAAATGAACAAGAGCTCGAGGCATCAACTTCCTCTTTAGCTTGTAACCAGACTAGGGAAGATGGCATCGACCAGTCTCCTAGAAGTCTTCTGAGGTCTAAATCTCTTCCTGTCTCGTCTTCAATATATGGCGTCCGGCTCAATGTTGAAATTTCTGATTCTGAGGCCGTCAAAGTTGAACTCCCCAAGGAGTTGACCAGGACAAAGAGTATGAAATCATCCTTAAAAGGAAAAGTTTCCAGCTTATTTTTCTCGAAGAACAAGAAACCAAAAGATCAAAACAGTGCATCTCAATCTGTCACCACAGAAGTGCCATTGCCTCGTCCTGGACAAACTGGCAGCCATCGATCTTCATGCATTCACAAAACTGGCATGGAACAGTGTTGCTCTCCCAGTTTAGATGGATCATGTGAGAGTTTGAAACAAGGCGTTGCTTCTCATGAGGTAATAACAATCTGCTTTCTATTTACTTGTTGTGCTGTTTGGTTTGGTGCTCATTGTACCCCCAAATAGCCAAATTAATTTGCTGGGGGTGCTCCTTGGAAGTTTTTTTTGTCACATCTGAAACTCCTAGCAAGTCTACTCAATTGAATTCATCATTGGTTAAATCGCTTCCCTAATAAGCTTTGCTTTTGTGTTCTTCACATAGTTACAAAGGCTATTGCCTTGGACGAATCTTATTGCTGCAAATGCTAAATTCTTCGAAATTCAGCATTCTCTTTAACATGTGAAATTAATGAATCTTGACGTAACATTTAATGAATCTTGACGTAACATTTAACCGTGGAATTGCAGGGAGTCTTGACAGTTGCTAAGCCAGAAATCGCACGGAGTACGAGCGAGAACCAAGATCAGCCCAGCCCAATCTCAGTATTGGAAGCACAATTCGACGAGGATGACCTCAACATTCCAGAGCTTTGTGCTAGCATAAAGCTAGACCGGCGCGGTAAATTCTCTCAAATCTTAATACTGTACCAGGCTCCCCCCCTTTTGTCCTTCCAGCTGAAACCCGTTGCACCATTTTGGGAATGTGGCAGGACCAGAACTTCTCTCCAAGTCTAACTTGATCGACAAGTCACCACCCATCGAATCGATCGCTCGGACGCTCTCCTGGGATGACTCCTCCTGTGCAGAGACTACTGCGTCATCATCCTCCTCCTACTCGCTAAAACCCTCAAGCGCGGAGGAAGAAGAGAGGGATTTGCTTTCCTTCATGGACACGCTACTGTCGGTAGCTGGCTTGGGCGGGCAGTCTCAGATGGAAATGGAGGACTCGAATTTCCCAAGATGGCATTCGCCGCAGAGCCCACTGGACCCATCGCTGAGAGACAAGCTTGCCAGCGAGACGGACAAGGAAGTTGCAGTCGTGCACGAAGCAAAGAGGAGACAGATAAGATCAAGCAGGAAACTTGTGTTTGACTGTCTCAACTTGGCACTCAGTGACATTATTATCACGAGTCATGGGCCCACTGTTGCTGGGCGTGAGTCACTACCGGCCATGGAGGCGGTGGAGAATGTGTTGTGCCGGTTGAGGGAGTGGGTCGGGAGGAGGGATGATGAGGAGGAAGGCGACAGCGGGAGCAGTGTGGTGGAGAGGGTGGTAAGGAAGGAGGTGGCGGGGAAAGGGTGGATTGATGGGCTGGCGACGGAGGTGGAGAGTGTAGGGAAGGAAATAGAAGGGAAGTTGCTGGAAGAGCTGGTGGAGGAGGTGGTGGTTGATCTGGCAAGCAGTTAGCGATGGTGGGACTGATAATGAGGTTTCTTCTTCTGCTTCTTATTATTCCTCCTCTCTGTAGTGGGGCTATTGATTTCTTTTAACATATATATATGTGCGCCTGTTCTCTCTGTGACTGGCTGTCGCATACTTCTACTACTACCCCTATTTGTTTAAATTGTTGGGGGAAGAAATTGGTGTGGTAGTGTTTCCGATTGATAATTGGGTAGCCATTGTATGGTTTTATATGTATTACTGGAATTATTATTGGTAGGTGAGATATTAAATTCTGATGGTAGCTTGTACTAAGTACTAACCCTCTGTGGACATTTTGCTTGTTTTCATCACAACCTGGTTAACAAAGGATGAAGGAAACCTCTTTGTATATAGGGTGGCATTGGCAATGAGGAAAATAATTGTTTGCTAGACCCGTGAATATGTTTGGATTGTTGGAACTGACGTACGAAGTGTATTATATATAAATGAGTTGGCAGTGTGAAATATTTGTTGTGGTTTGAAATCGGAAGGTATTGTATAGTAAATGGGTATTTGGTCCGGTAAATTCGAATCAAATCGAAATGGTCACTTTCTCGGGTTGGAATTCATCAAATCAGAGATATAGTTGTAAGTTGAGGATCTGTTCAAAACATATCAAACTGATAAAAAAATTGATAAAAAAATTGGCCGAAATGGGAAAGTTTGACTTACTTGGAGTGAGTGCTTCAAACTTACTTTACGCTCATCTGACCACCTGGATATTCAGGCAATCCGTCTTGATTATTTTGTTTCATTATTCTGTATATTATAATACGACACTTCACTTTAAAAGATTTTGTGCATTTCGCGATTCATTGGTAAATAGACTTTGACTCTCTATCAACCACTAACGTGGCACCATTTCATTAACATGGTTAAAACTAAACCGTTTGAAATCCAGACGCAGCAAGAACAAGGTGCTGTACTCTTTCTACTAATATATTAATTATATTAATACATAAATGGGGTGTCATATTGCTTGGAAACCTTAAACTTCAACCTATAAGCTAGAAGAAAGCTTTGACTTCGAACTCGTTGTGCCAGCAGCCGCGATAATACAGAGGATGCAAGCGTTATCCGAAATGATTGGGCGTAAAGCGTCTATAGGTGCATGAATACCCAGGCCGGTCGCTCCTCCATTAATCCGACCGGGGGTGTGGATAACGAGGCCACCTTCACAACCTTCTCCCTTCTGTCCCTATGTTGTAGTAAGGTAGGAATTTTAGACAAAGCTTCATATAAACTTTGATTTTCAGTTAATCCGACACCAACTCTTCTATATATTTCTTGTTGAAAATATCCTTGATCCCATTGATAACGAGTGGGGCTATGTCCTAAATGGTGGTGATCATCTTTTCTTTGCCACTTGTGTGTTTCTAATTCTGAAGCTGATAGAATAGTTCTCTATAAGTAATCCTATATTCCTATTGCACTACGCGTACACAAGGCTTTTGTGAATTTGGAGTGGCTGGATAAGCTCCCACGTTGCAAAAAGGAGGCCTACTCTCGACGCCAATTTTGTGGAACTGGCCTTGTGCTGTTTCCCTGAGGTCTAACAAGGTTTTTTCTTTTTTTTTTTAGGGTAAATACAATTTAATATCCAAACCTTTCATTTTAAACAATATAATAGCCAAACCTTTTCGAAAACAATCTAATATCCAAATCGTCAACTTTCCGTTCGTTTGACCGTTAGTTGACACTTCAAAAAAGCTTTGTTTAGGGGAAATTGTCACAATACAACTTTGTTTCTTGTTTTGGCATTGCAGATGACTGAATATTTAGATATTCTATACCATCATGGTGGAGTCATGGACTTCTCGGGTTTGGAACTACGATATGTTGGTGGTTTTTCAGAGAAGATATTGATAAAGTGTCGTACTTCGAACTTTTTTGAAGTGTTAACTAACAGTCAAACAGACAGAAAGTTGACGATTTGGATATCAGATTGCTTTCGAAAAGGTTTGGCTATTATATTGTTTAAAATAAAAGGTTTGGATATTAAATTGTATTTATCCTTTTTTTTTACGTTGGATTACAGTCGTTCCTATTTCGATATTTATCGTCAATGTCTATTGGGGGTAAGAAACGGGTATACCAAATGGAGAAGCTACTGCTCCATCTTCTCATTCGCGCAAAGCGAATCAACTATTTATGAACTAAACCGTCTACTCAATACTATAATTTGATGGTTGCAGCTTCGGGACAATTAACTCAAGACTGCAAAGACAAATAACTAGCAAATCACAAAGAACTGAAGGAAAACAAAACGAATGCAAATTATTGATACAGACTCACACCCACACACATCAGAGTAATATATGTAGAGAATGTCGCCACTCGAATTATCGACTGCCTTACCCACAGATACATTCGTAGACAAACAAAGAAACGATCAACTTCTGCAATTTACAGCAGAAACAAACACCCAATCAGCAGACAGCAAAACTAGTCAGACAAGATCCTAAAATCTTCCATCCGTTTATATACAACACACAACTTACTCCGCCACACAAAGGCAAACATATACCTTACTCGCAGAGAGACTCGACAAACTCACAAATCATAGCAACAGTCACTTCCTTTGGCCTGCAGGATCGAGACAGCTTTCCTCACTTGGATTTCATGCTCATTGACGTATTTAAACCAGGTTTGTCGTTGCTGTTCAGTCCATACTGCAAGTACAAAGGGAGAAGCACGAGTTTAAAACATGGAATGGAAGATCAAAGACCTTAGAACTAACAAGAACAAGACGCAAATAAATGTTCGCATGCGGCATGATAGAAACCACAGAACTCGCAATAAGTAAAATAATCCTAAATGGTTCATCTTTCCAACACTCTATGGATGATTTCCGGAGGAATGAACACTAATTCTTCGTCTTCAATCAAGAATACCAACCAAGATTACCACCGGTTTTTTACAGTCAATAATATTTCTTGAGTAGGACAAAGTCGCAATGTAGGCTGGTAAAATCACCGAGATGGACAACAAACTATAAGTGCACAAATACCCATATGCCAAGGTTCTGAATTCCATAGGCACCTTAATAGGGAAGTAAAAACCCTTTCAAAACTTAGCCTGGAATTGCGGAAGTTAAGCATGGCTCGTATCTTAACCAGCTTTCGGAGTTGAATGTCAAATAAGTTTAATTTACATCCGTTTATTTACATTCAGATGTCACCATATATTCTAATTTGGGACATGTTTAATCTCTGCAGATCATGCATTCTCTGACCATTTCAGGATACTATTAGTTGATTCAAGAGGGTATTCTAATTTTTTCAATCTGTTCCCACCATAAAGAGAGACCTAAACTTATCAGTACTGGAATTTTTCTTGGCACAAGTTAGGCAGTGTCCTTCAACATACCTTTTCCCTCATTCTCGAGCTCCAAATGTCTGATCCGTTCCCTGATCCAGATGTTTGACCTGGTTGACCCAAGAGTGGTTCCCACCTTCTACTTCTACCACTCTCGTAATCATCCTCACCATCAATATCGCTCTTTGGAGTGGAAACCAAACCACGCAGAACCATGGCAAGCAGTAGAGACACAGCCTGAAAGTAGTGAAACAAAGACCAATAAGATAGAGGTCCAAGATGACTGGTTTATGTTAATCTAAGCACTGCTTCACAAAATCATTCACAATTCTGGAATTGACAAAAGCCAAATCGAGATGTCATCTAGCAAGATCTCATGATGCCTTGTTCTTTCATATTTTTACAAAAGAGTCAGTTATATAGATGAATTTTCAGTAAAAGTGGCCGGAAGGAAATTACAAAATAACTGGAGAAAGATTAGAGTTTATGGCTTCCTGCAGACTTTCTTACAACAAGTGGTCACAACTTTATCGCTTCACAGTGGAAAAGAGAAGTAACATGTTCCAAAATTTCCATATCTCAGTCAACAAAAACCTTGTTAACTATAAGAATCCATTAAAGTTGAGGTCATCTGATACCTGAATTACAAGGACTGCTATGCCAACCCATTTACATATCTCAATGTTGTCCTCAATAAAAGCTCGCATGCTTTGAACTTCTCCAGTTGGATCAAATGGAATATCCTGTCAAGAATAGATACAGTTTTTTTAGTTCAAAGAAAACCTCAGATAAAACATGAAGGCCAAAGCAAACACTCGAAATCATCACAAGAGCAGTGAAGTAACTAGTACTACCTTTTCCCAATGACGATCAATTGCAATGAAAGCAATCAAAGCTGCTTCCACCAGAATGAGTACAACTTTGAGCACAGTATACTAATGGTATTACGTTAAGGATACTTTGTACAGAAACAGCTGTTAAAGAAACATATAATTTAAGTGTCATCAATTTGCTGCAGATAAGAGATAAAAATTTGATGCCCCCCTGTGGCCGAGGGATGGATTTACCACCAGATAAGAGATCGCAATTTACAAATTAGATCCTATGCTTCATTCATTAGATATTATAAGCCGCAAACGAGAAGAAGAAGGCAAAAAAAAAAAACAGATAAAGCCTCATGTAGCTAGGATACAAAGCATAGGCAACAACCGTTGATGGCTTCAGCTGCAATGCAACCGATGAAAGTGATGCAACATAAAATGGCGCCGACTCCCATAAAAGAGTAGATGAACCTGCAATTCGAAACCACTTCACTTTTTAATGCACTATGGAGTACCACAAGTTCTTGTAACTTGAAAGCCCCATAATCACAAATATTCAACAAGAAACTGAAGGCATGGAAGAAAAGAAAAACTCTATCACGCGATTATACAAAAAAAAATTAATTTAGGAATCCATGGAGTCCCAGGCCATCAACCAAACCAAAACAAGGACAAGAACCGTGACCCCAACTCAAAGATCAGAGCAATTAATGAAGGGAAAATATAAGAATTCAACTTTGAACTACTACCCATCACCGATAGAAACATGCAAATCACTGTGATTATGAAATTTTCGTTTTCTCTCCTCCCTCTCTTGAAAAGGAAGTGTATTTCCAATCTCGGAAAAAAGCAGAAGATATCGGAAGCGTTCAATCACGACCTTTTACCATCAAAAGTCATATTTTCATGGACAATTAACTATATTGAAGCAAGTAATTAATTTGCAGGTCAACCCGTAATTAGACTGGAAGAAGAGAAGACGAGGGATGGGGCGAAAAATTCAATTACCAAGGGGCAGGGAGGTCGACGGAATTCAAGTAAAACCCGAGGCCGGCGTCCATCTGAGAGGCCACATCGGTGGCGAGATTAAGAGTACTAACTGAATGAGATCGGGAATAGACGATAGAAGAAGCCGAGGAGGAGGAGGAGGGAGCAGGGAACGGCGGCGGGGAGGCGGGAAGGTGATGGTTCCATTGATCGAGCATCCAGGCGGAATAGAGAATGATGGAGATGCCGATGAAGGCAAGGAGGAAATTGAAGAACTTGAGCAGAAATGCAATGGATACATGACAGCAATTGGGCCGCATCTCTTCCGGTGAATCAAAAAACTGAAACTGAAAACCCTAGCA